GTCGAATTTTGTTGTGAAAGCTATCTTGAATGAAAGAAAATTGTCTAACCAAGAAAATGAATCTGAATACCAATATCTTTAATTCAGTCGTTAACGCTGTACAGACGTTTAAAGTGTTGTTTACGTGACGTAACAATGTTGTGCCAAACAGCACGTGCAAAACAATCTAATCAGGTACGCTATATTAATGTCGCAAACGAGTTAAGTTTTACATTTATTTCACTTTTAAAAATTTGTATTTCGCTTGATAAATTATAGAATGAAATAAAATAAACAAACAAAGTTTTACCAACGTTTTCACAATTCGTTACACTCAAAATGTTTCTTCACACGGTAGATTTATCGACAGTTTTTTCAAACCACTGGAACAGCCTTTAAAGAACGTTTCTATGGGAAACTCTCAGTCGAAAAGAAATTTAACCACCAAACATAGAGTCCAACTTTATAAAAATAATTATATTTTTTCTTGACGTGTTAGAATGGAAATAATTATTAATTCTTCGTGCATTATTGTACAATAATGCACTTTTTTCGTTCAAATGCTTTGTAATTAGTCACTCAGGCCTATCGGCCTTCGTGATTATATTACTACGCATCTGAACTCAAACTACAAAATTGCGCTCAGAATTGATGTCTATTTCCTCAATATGACGTTAACATATTTAACATTGCTATTGCACCAGGCTCTATAATGCTGGTTTATCAATGTTGATCTTTTGATATCCCCAAATTGATTGTTCCAAATTCAAAACAGGGCAAATTTATTTCACAATGTCATCAAAGGTTTTTTTTAAGTGTCATGTGATTTCAATGAAAAAGTATAGGTCCTACGTTCGCCGAATCATTTGCTTGGAAAGAATGTCCGTGAATGATACATATTTTTTTCAATTATAAAGAGTCAAAATTAACTTCTCTATTTTTATACTGCGGTCAGGTGATGTTCATCGTAATCCTGTCCCAGCTTCTAGAAGTACGTCAACATCCTCTTTAACATCAAGCTTAAACGATTATATTGATCTTTCCAGAAATCTGTCTTTGGTTCATTACAATGTTCAAAGCTTACTCCAAAAACTTGATATACTTTATGCTGAATTAAATGACTTTGACATACTTGTTTTCTCTGAAACATGGCTAAATGTGAATACGCCCTCTTCAGATCTTATTCTTAGCTCTTATTCGCCACCAGAAAGAAAAGAACGAATCGATAATTACGGAAGAGTAATACTTTATGTAAAAGACAATATTAGTTATAAGAGACGACTTGATCTTGAGATAAGGGGTACTGAATCTATTTGGATTGAAATCATATTCTGTAATAAACATATTCTACTTGGTGCTTTTTACAGACCTCCAAATGCCGATTCTGTTCATCATGATTTGATCGTTGATTCTATGCATCTCGCCATTGACACCCACATAGATAACATTTTAATATTAGGAGATTTCAACTTGAATACTCAAAACCCTCCCTCTGGTAGAAAAGTAAATGCATTATGCTCACAGTTATCACTGTTTCAAGTTATAAACGCTCTAACACACTTCAAGGAATCCTCCACATCAACAATTGACTTGATTTTCACAACTAACAAAAACCTTATACACTCGAGTGGTGTTGGTGACCCTTTCCTTCAACAAGACTTAAGATAGCATTGCCCAATTTTTCTTAAAGTTCTTAAAAGGAAACGTAAACGCTTGTATCGCATTGCCAAAGTATCAAATTTACCGCGTCACTGGGCAAAATTTCGTCTTCTTAGAAATCAAATCACTACACTTATTCGTGAGGCAAAGAAAACTCATTTTGACAATCTTAAACATTAGCCTAAAGAGGAAACATGTAATTTCTCAGAGTTGGTGGACCTGTCTCAAAACCCTCATTTAACCTTCTGTCTCCTCTTCTATACCTCAACTCGTAAACGGAAATGATACTATTACAGATGAAACACAAAAAGCAAACTTTCTTAATGAATACTGTGTGGCTCAAACAGATATAAATACACATGCAGCACATATTCTTCCTGATTTATCTAATTCTAGTGGTTCAACATTATCCGACATTTTCATCAGTCCTGACGAAGTAAAATCGGTCTTAAAATCACTTCCCCTTGGAAAAGCATCAGGCCCAGAAAAAAAAAATAATAGAATCCTACGAAAACTCTCAACTGAACCCAGCGGCCCTCTATGCTCTCTTTTCAACTACTCTCTCCAAATGTGTCAAGTTCCTTATGCTTGGAAAGAAGCAAACGTCTCTCCACTGTTTTAATCCGGTGATCCTTCTCTGGTAAATAACTACCGTCCTATTTCTCTTATTAGCACTATCAATAAAGTTTTTGAAAGAATCATATTCAAACATACACTCAATTTCCTTCGTTCTAATAATGTTCTTACACAATTACAATCAGGTTTTGTTCCTGGTGACTCTACAATAAATCAACTGACTTACATATACAATTTATTTGCTAAAGCCATTGATTCTGGAAAAGAGGTGAGAACAGTTTTCTGTGACATCAGTAAAGCGTTTGATCGTGTATGGCATAAGGGCCTTATCTATAAACTTAATAACATTGGAATTTCCGGTCGTCTTTTACTTTGGTTCACTTCCTTTCTTGATAACAGAAAACAAAGAGTTGTTCTTAAAGGTTGTACATCTTCTGATGATTATATAAATGCTGGTGTCCCTCAAGAATCCATACTCGGGCCACGTCTTTTTCTAATATTTATAAATGACATTGTTATGATATCAAAGCAAACATCAGACCTTTCGCTGATGATACTAGTCTATTCATTATTGTTGAAGATCCGCTATAAGCTTCAAATATTCTAAATACAGTCTTGCAAACAATAGACAGGTGGTCAACAAAAATGTAAGTCAAATTTTATCCTTCAAAATCGGAATCAATGTTATAATACCGTAAAACAAGACAAGTAATTCATCCGTCCACTATTATGCAGGGTCAACCAATAAATGAAATAAATAATCATAAACATCTAGGTATAATTCTTTCAAATGATCTTCGCTGGTCGGCACATCTTGATTATACTAAAACTAAAGCCTGGAAAAGAATAAATATAATGAAAAAACTTAAATTTACACTTGACCGGAAGTCCTTGAGATCATCTACCTTTCATTTATTAGACCTAACATTGAATACGGCGATGTCTTATTTGATAACTGTACCAAATTAGAAAAAACGGAACTTGAACAAATTCAACATGAAGCCGCAAGAATAGTGACAGGAACAACCAAACTCGTCTCTATTGACAATCTTATGTCTGAAATTGGCTGGGAAACTTTAGTAAAAAGGAGATACAATTATAAACTTATCTTTTTTTACAAAATGAAAATTAATCTCAGTACAGACTATCTCTTCTGTTGGCTCCGAACATCGAAATCCTTTAAGGAATGTCCAAGATATACAGACCATTCGATCACGCACATATTTTTACTATAAATCCTTTCTACCATCTGTAATAAGAGACTTCAACGCCCTTCCAGTTTAAACCCAGGATGCCCCTACGCTTTCCGCTTTTAAGCGCAGTCTTAAAAGTGAAGTATCAAATATACCGACTTTCTTCTACTATGGTGAGCGAAGAGACCGAATAATGCATACCAGACTTCGAACCAATTGTAGCTCTCTTACATCTGACTTATTTGATAAGAAAATTGCCGAGTCTCCATTGTGTGATTGTGGGGTGGTTGAAAATTCCTATCATTTCTTCTTTATTTGTCCAAAATATGTACATCTACGTCCCAATCTACTAAACACTATTTCCAACTTTTGCACTCTAACTTTGTATGTTATTCTTTATGGAGACTCTGCTATCTTTGCCGCTGTTCATAAATTTAAAAGAGATGCTAAAAGATTCTAATATGTAATAAATATACTAGTTGTCATACAACATAGTGCTCACACTAGTTTTTTTTTTTCATAAATGATGTTCGTACCAAAACGACAAATGATATAGAAACATCTGCAAACTCCTGTTTTCTCCATCTTTCTCTTTATTATTTTCTTTCAATTGCATACATGTATTTGTATTTTTTAAATCTTTTTTCGTTTTTTTTTTCGTTATAAGGTTTTATTAAAATTATGATAAGCCATGTATTATGTAAACATATTCTTTTGTTAAACGAGATGACTACTACGAGCTATTGTAGCTCTCGGTCCAATTCCTTTCTGCTTAAATTGTAAATAATAACATGTATATATTATCTGAATAAAAATATGTTTAAACCAACTTTAGGTAATTCTGACCTAAATTGCCTCTCGACGACTTCAATTTAAAGATAAGATAAACGCAGGTTCCTGCAAACCAGTTCACTCATCACAAGCTAAAGTAAGTTAAGCTTACTCCACTTAAATTAAAAAAAAAATATTACGATGAATTAAGTAATTTTATTTATCTGGATATGCGTACATTTAAATTGTTTCTGATTATGATTTAGGAAGTAATACATAATAATTTAATTGCTACTGACAGCAAATCGTATCCTTTTAAACTTGAACACATTATCCTGAATAAAAATCTAATCACAAATTTTGTAACAATTCATGTTAGTTGAGCACATTGAAATTGATATACATGCAGATTTACATAGGTATAACATGTATCTTTGTATCCGTTGATGCTTTTTCACGGTCACACATGATTCATTACCCATGCCCAAGAATGCCCCGTGAGGAAGGGGGGATGAAGAGAGGACAATAAACTGAGTTGAAACGTCCGTCTGACCCCACTGTATGTGACATATGTATATTTATTTAGCGTCAGATATGTTTAAGACGAAGTGCAGTCCATTATCGTGTACATAATCCTGAAGAGCGGGGTCTCTACCATGGCTTTGAAAACCAAATATCGAAATCACCGCGATTTTCTGGAAATTGGATGTGACAATTAATATGAACTGTGCGCCACATGTTATGTAAGGAATGACTTTGTCAACACTTAGTTGACGTTCTCATGTTAACATTTCTCATTATTTTGATTCAATGCATAGAACATAACCATGCGTGTCGTTGTTCTTTTGTGTGTCATTTCCGGCGTGACTTTCACCTCTGCTGACATCACCGGTCAACATCCGGCATCGGGCACCTGTCTATGTCTAACCGGAACTAACGTTCACGCTAGAAGCGCGGGTAATTTGAAATATTTGTTTCTATATTTTTTCTCTCTCTATTATATAGAGAGGAAAAGAAGAATGTTTAGATTGATTATAATGTCTGTTTTTTTGTTTTCTTTTGGGTTTTACGTCACATCGACACAGTATAGGTCATATCGCGACGTTCCAGCTTTACTGGTGGAGGAAAACCTCAGGTTCCCTTCCGTGCATTATTTCAGGCACGAACGGGCACCTGAGTAGAACCACCGACGTTCCGTAAGCTAGCTGGATAGCTTCCTCACATGTCGGTAATTTAATTCTTAATTTTAAAAGTACTGTTTTAAATTTAATTTTGATATATACTGAGAGAAGTTTGTAAAACATGTCTTAGTAAGACAAATTTGTTTACGGCTTTCCCTTATCATTAGACATAATAAACTTCGCCCTGCAGCTTTAAATGCAACCAGTGCAGACCAAAAATTATGGACTATAATGTTCGCTATTCAGACAATATTTATTTTGAAATTTTCTTTATTAAAAATTATGAATGGTGTTGTCCGTCGCATTGAAAGATGGACAGGTCAATTTCATTTATTTAACGCGGTTATGGTAAAGCAATTTCGAAAGCATGATGCTTTAAGCAGTTAGCCTTAATATGAAATGATCTTTTTTATTTTTTTATTTCAATATTTTGTAGTGAATGATACATCCATCTCATTAAGAATTTCATTCAGCAGAATCTTCAATAACCGTATCTTTGTTGATTTAAAATCACTGAATGATAGAAATGCAATGGTTGGCGGAATTCGTCTTAGGGGCTAATTTTATAAAATTTTGTATAATTATACTTTATATATTTAATTTTACTATAATGAACGTTTGTCATGTTAAAATTTACTTGTTTCTCTATTCAAGCCGGACTTAGTGGATCAATTGTTGCAACTGTGAGCAAACCAGAATGTTTCAAATTCCACGGTGGTATTCTCACCAAGGACGGCTATACGTGGTACCAGTTACAACACGTGAATGGACATGTAAGAAACAGAAATCTCTTAATTTGAAAACAGAAAGCTTGTTAATTATAATTAATATTAGCGTTGCTGCTGCTGCTGATGATGATGACGATGTTGTTGTTGTTGATGATGATGATGAAAATGATGCTGTTGTTGATGATGATTATGATGATGATGGTGATGATAATGATGATGCTGATGCTGATGATTATACTGCTGCTGCCGATGATGAAGATGATGATAATGATGATGATGACGACAACGATGATGATGATGATGATGATGATGAAAATAAAACTTGATAATGACGAAACTCATCAACTTTAACACACAAAAAATGTGAACATCTGTGTGAAAGAGAAAATGTGTAAATTTATTATCATTGCTAACATTGAAATGTATTTGTATTTTCAAAATAAGATTTTTAGAGAAATTTCAGTTTACATGGTAAATGTATTTTTATATAAACAGAATGCATGGGTTACAGGCACGTTCTTGTCAACATCGACAGCCTTTTACTGTTTTGGTACCCCATCTACTTCCGGTAATAATTTTATAATGCACACACTCCTTTAATGATTTTTTGTGTGTTCTTTACACACCTGTTTCTATCTGCGTTTTCGTCCTATAGGTTTCTGCATTTCCCCGTTCCTCGGTTATATTATTAGTTATAAAAATCGTTGACAGGTGATATGGCCCTATTTAAACGGCTATTTGTAAATATATTGCACACAGCCGTTTATATACGGCCATATAATCTGTCAACAATCTTTACAACGATTTTAAAATAGAGCAAGCATCATTTTTAGAGAAAAAAGGTAAGATTTCTTCATGAATCAACAGCAGCTGTGTACATTTAACTATATAAACGTCACGATTATCAAATGAAAAATGACGTTACAAACGTGCAGTATTATATATATATATATATGTTGTCGTCCTAAAGCTGTTTATATATCCTTGTCCTTTTGTTTATATAAGTAATTATTCTATATATTTCTTGATCTCTTCGTCGCCTTACATTTTTCTGTATCACCTTTTTCACTCGTCCTAAAGTTCTCAATATGTCGTCGTTCTAGTTATCAATTTTCTCCGTTTGATAATCGGTATGTTCTCGTCCTTAACTCTTTAACATCAACGTGCAATTATAGATTAATCGAATGTATTTTATTTCATAAAGGATCGGGTATTTGCACCGATGCTACAGCCAAGGAGTTTGCTTGTTTACTTTTGTATTATGCGAAAGCGGGAAACATCACATTGTGGAAGCAACATCCATCCGGTGTTCATGACAACGCTTACTCGTACAATAACATCAATGACGCTTGTCTCGGCCACGCTGCCTCTAGATCAAAGTACGTGTCCAAAATAACTTCAAATTAATTATGTTTTGCTGCATGTGAGTTTATTTGCGAGTACATGTATCAACAAGATTGATCGTTTTAAAAACGATTGATTTAGAGTCTTAGTACGTACAAACAATAATAAAGCAACGTCGTTGCCATCGTGTGAGGTAAACGGTTCAAGTCATTTGCATTGAAGAAGCACGCATCCAGATTCATGCTAATTTTCATGAACATTTTGAATTGCTTTAAAAGTAAGAGGTCAATATATGCAAATACAAAATGTATAGCCTTTACCTCATTAGTAACGCAGTGGAATTATGGTAAGTAATACTGCAATATCGGTCATATATCGATGATTGCTTTCAAAGTTGACTGTTTAACGATTTTTCTTATGAATAAAGGAATATCTTGAGTTTTTGTGTCCGGTTTTAATTTATGATTATAAATTATTTTACAGCTTTCTTTTCCCCCTTACGTAGGCAGAGTTATCTTTGCACGTGTTTTATATGACCGGGTCTGAAAAAAGACAACACCCCCAAGCAGAGTGTCTGTTGTTCAAAAAGGTCTTACGAAAACGATGTAAGATAATGTAAAGTATAAGGCAAGTTAAATCTTGACAGACATTGGTTCCTGACGTCTAACATATAAATAACCATTTAAGACACAGCTGCTGCTCTGTGCTTTGGCACTAGGGATTAACCAAAATGCAAGTAAAAATGGCGGTAAAAGTGGTTTGCAAATATCGTGTGTATTTCTGTTTTTTCAGTTACAATTGCTCAGAATGCCGAAGCCCTGGTGCTCCTGGGGGACACGTTTGTTTAAGTAAGACCTTACTATACTATATCGTTCTTGTCCATCAAAAACTTGGCTACATTCATGTAAGTAAAGTCCTTAGCTTTTCTCTTACACTATATACATATATTTAGTCCATCAAAGACTTAGCTACATTCATGTAAGTTAAGTCCTTAGCTTTTCTCTAACACTATATACATATATTTTGTCCATCAAAGACTTGGCTATATTCAGGCAAGTAAAGTCCTTAGTTTTTCTTGTACATTTCTCTTACACTATATTTCTGTAGTCCACCAAAGACTTGGCTACATTCATTTAAGCAAAAACCTTAGCTTTATGGCCACGTATGTCTCTTAGCAGATTAAATTTTAAGCTGGTCCTGTGGTAAGAAAAACTAAACGAAAATTGATCCTGTTTAAAATTCATTACTTAACTGCCGTGTTAGTGGTATTTGGAACATCGACACCTTGTTTGAATTTGGAAATGATTAATACATAAAATTATCATAAAACAATCATAATTTCGTTAAAAAAGCGAAGAAGCATTTTTGTGCTGGAAAATGGATACATTTTTATGCATTATGTTTAAATTTACCACCAAATAAGTGACAAACAAATCTCTGTATAATAATGAATAAGTTTGGAAACTTTGACCTTTATATTTAACCTGAATCGCGTTTTATCTTACCACCGTAATTCAACGTTACAGAATAGCTGATAGTAGTTCAACTTTTAGTGGATGTGTCATTGTTTTTGGTTTGTTTATGGCACCAAAATAATAACGAATATGTTCAACTCGCAATCATGAAATTAAATGGGTGGGGTTTAACCTTTTGAATATTCACGAAGGGGATATGCTTTGACAGGAGATGTATTTAATCATTAGACTGTTAACGAAGGGGACTTGCTTTTACCGGAGATTTGGACAATTTAAAACCCATAATCTATGCCATTCTCATTGGATTGTTGTATGGATTTACCAAACATGTGTTTTGTTAATTGTTATAAGATTATAAAAGATAATGCGTCTTGTGGGTTTCAGGTGAATGAAATTGCCGGTGCCTGTCACAGCTGTACATCAAAACATTATCTCGGCCGTGCTGTTGACCTTCACAACCCATCTGGACAGTCAACTATGATGTTAAGTCTGTGCACGTTCTTGGGAGGATGGGGACAGAATGAAGGAACTCACGTACATTGCCAGTTTAATTCATAATTTACATGTACTCTGAGAAATAAAGCATAATTATTACTGCAAAAAATGATGAAAAATAAATAATTGTATACATGTATTTACTTTATGTCATTTTCATATAAAAATAATTGCTTTTTTGAAAATACAAGAAGTACACTCCCTTAAATTAAAATTACATTTATTAAATATAATAACAATTAATCCTCTTCAAACCGCACCTCCAGACAGTGAGATCCTTCTCAGAACAACAGTTTAATTTTCCACATGCGTTCTCATCAGCAACTCTGCATAGTAGTTAATAGCAAGTAAATTATTTGTATTTCCCTTTTATTGACCACATAACGAACGGCTTAATATATCAGTCAACCAACTGGTTTCATTCTATGTTTCCCATCATAGTACATACGTACATTTTAAAGATATAGAGTAAACGGGACAAATTGATATGGGATAATAATAATAATAACTCTGCAATAAACGATAATGAATGTCGCCTTTCACTAAAATAAAAACACTATTCCAGAAAGAAAATTCTCACTAAAACTATATTTTTATTTTATCGCATGGTTTACAGCTTTTCCTTTGTTCTTACTAACACATTATACTCAGTACACTTTCAATGAGCATTTGAAAACTGTATTGATATATATCACTAGAGTTTTTTCATTGATTCATATATGAAAAAACTCGACTGCTATAAAGCGTTTGAGCTTTTTTCGCACCTTGTATATATCAATGTAGTTTTTTTCCACAGAGGCTCCAATACGGCAGTGTTAACGAACATTCCCAGTAGCACAAAAAATGTAATAAATAAAATGAAATGAATAAATAAATACAATGAAAAAATAAACAAAGATATTAATGAAATGAAATTTACTCTCATTTAATCAAAAGGTTGAATGAATTATTTCCACTGAAAACAAAGCCATTTAATTTTGAATCAATAACAGTTTACAATCCGCATCTAACATTGGATGTCTATTGTATATCTTTTTTGCGGCAGCAAAAAGAACTTGAAACAACTGCCTCATCATAAATAACTGTAATGTAGCTAATGATTTATTTATTTGCTTGTTTATTTATCTATATTTATTTATTTATTTATTTATATTGCCAAAATAGAAAACATTATGTCATTGCGATTAAAGAGTTATAGTTTATTAAACTCTTTTGTTACGAGGATATAATACTGGCAGGCTGGGATGACATCTCGGGATGTTTCTGCATAAAATTGTCTCGGCCTACCAGCCTCGCCACTTTTTAGCAGAAACATCCATTGATGTCGCCCTGGCCAGTGTTATATCCTCGTAACTAACTCGTTTCATGTACTATAACTATTACTAATCGGTAAACAACAAGGAAGCAAACGAACATTTCCAAAAGACTGATCTAGTTGAATATACTACTTTTTAACCTTGTTTCCTCAGATGTCGGCAACAGCCGCAAATTAATATGAAATCAGTGCACCTGAAGATACGTGCCGTCTGATCATGGTACTGTTTATTTTTCAGTCATTAAATTCTTTCATTTTTTTTAAAGATGAGAATTGCTTTGTCAAGATTAGAGGATAGAAAAGTGAATTTATAATATTTAAGGGTTGTGAGGTTTAAAGAAACTCCATACGCCTTAATAGATAGAAATTAAATTTCCGACATAGATGCATTCATGCACTACCGACAGGAAGATAAACAAACAATAATTTAACATATGTGCTCAGAAATCAATTGCAATTCGTATTTTTTGTGCAATTATGAGTCTGATTTGAGTGGAAAGCGTTGTAACGGTTTTTATGTATTTTTGTCCATTTTCGCAAGTAGAATAATAATGCAGGAAAACACATTGAGCGAATGAATTAAAAAGATTGCACACCATTTATTGGTCCAGATTTACATTACATGGATTATAAATCTCTTTTTCAGTCCCGTCATGTCAAAAAACAACAACAACAACAACAAAAATCTCAATAGGGTCCCTTTAACACGTGCTATTTTACGATTCATACATTTAACTTGGTATTGTAAAGTCATCAACATTAGCTGCCTTTGTAAAGATGACCGACTTTACATTGTCCTATTAAAGGGATATTATATCCAGGAAGTTGAAAATCTAAAACTGAAAATTGCCAGGTACCAGTTACATCATAACCTGTATACGGGTTAAATGTTGTCATTGATAAATGTAGTGGGTTGTTTAACAAATATCGTGTTTCCTTTCAGTTTATAATGCTTTACATCTGTAACAAAATTAAGTCATTGTTTGAAATTTAAATAAAGAATGCTTCCGCAATGCTAATCTTAAAAGGCGCTTTACAATAAAATGATAAACATTTACAAAGACTTAAAAATAAAAAGAAAAAAAAAACGAATGATAATAATAAGATGCATATATGTATACATTTACAAAATATAAAATACCCCATAATTAATATAAAAGTCTAACCCTCAGTTGATCGTACAAAAAGAAAATAACAAAAAAAAAATATATGTACATGAAGACTTAAAAATAAAATGTAGAGCAAGGTTAAAACTATTACAATTAAAAAAGTACAAATGAAGATAAGACAATTGAAATTAAAATAAAATTTGATAAAACATTAATCAATATTTAAATGTGACATAAAAGCAGACTTTAATATTTCAAATGTGTACCCAGATCACTCAGAACAAAAGACACCTCAACAATTCACAGTAATAAAAAATACAGCACAGTCAGTTACTATAAATTTTCAGGATTTTCTTTTGAAGATTTATTAAAAATATCTACAGTTTTTAAATCTCTGATACTGTCTGGGAGAGCTTTCCACAGTTTTGGTTCCACGGAAGAGAAACTGCGTTCACCATATCTTACAGTCCTACTTTTGTGAACAACAAGTTACTTTGAAGAGTTCGTTGATCTTAAATGTTTTGTTGGTTGAAATAGCTTCAGTAAATGTGTAAGGTAAATTGGTAACTGGTCATGTAGGGCTTTGTAAGTTTGCACAAGAATTTTAAAGTCCACTCAGTAAACCACAAGAATCCATTGAAGTGCCTTCAATAGTTGAGTTATATGTTCAAATCTGAATGTTCTTGTGATGATGTGAGCAGCTGTGTTTTGAAGATGTTGTACTTTATTCAACGTTGTTTTAGGTACACCATATAAAAGTCCATGCGTGAGGTGACTTAAGAATTCACTAAAGGTTCGGTTGCATAGGTAGGTAGGTAGGTAGGTATAGGTAGGTAGGTAGGTAGGTAGGTAGGTAGGTAGGTAGGCAGACAGACAGTCATGTAGGTAGGTGAATAAATAAATAAATAAATAAATAAATAAATAAATAAATAAATAAAGAAAGAAAGAAAGAAAGAAAGAAAGAAAGAAAGAAATAAATAAATACTATATTACACACATTATAACATCTTCCAAACCCAAGGATAACACAAAAAAAGATCAAGCTCTTATTTTCAGTGTGGTCCTTAGCATTTTGTGACATGACAAAGAGAGGTATTTCATAAAATTAAAAAAATATATCACTTAAGAATAATCACATTAATTAAGGATATCATTTAAAAATTATTACAATTTGATGATTCTAACAAAACTATTATCACAGTTAATTAAGCATGTTAAGTAGTATTAAAAGTTTCTAAAAAAACAACTAGCAGTACTTAGAGGATATGTAATGTTATTCATTAAAAAGTCAGTATCACATTAAAAAATAATCACGTGCATATCAAGAAAACATTACATTTAAAAAAATATCACTGCTTAAAGGGTTTATGCGATTTATTATCGAAGGGACCATGTTGAATTAAGAGTAGCTAAAATATGATCATACTGTTATGAGTATGTCAGGAAGAAACGTGCCATAGATTACACTATTCAAAAATAAGTTTTTAAAGTCTTAATAAAAAAAATAACACAAATTACAAAAAGTAAAACAGTGAACCTGAGCCGAAAAATTATTAAATACAAAATGAGAACATATTAAATCTTCCTTTAAGAAATTTTAAGACAAATACCTTAATGCTACTTAAAATGTGACTTTTGATGGCTACCTATTTTAATTTAAGTCACACAAGTTGGAAGACTGTTCCAGAGTTAAGCACATAACTGAATTTATGAACATAAATCTCGAACAATTATTAAATCTTCATATATTTAACTTGGTACTGTAAAATAAAAACTGTCATTAAAATTATATGCCTTTGTGAAGATGACGGACGATTTAACATTGCACTATAATTAAAGAGATATCACATACAGGATGTGGCATATCTGATACTGCAACTCGACAGGTATCTGTTACATTATAAGTTTTAAATGGGTTAAATGTTGTCATTGATAAATGTAGTTGTTTTTTTTAACAAATATCGTGTCCCCTTAAATCTTATAAAGCTGGCATAAAATATTCATTGTCTGAAATTTAAATAAAGAATACTTCCGAAATGCTTGTAGATTGAGAACTGAAAATAAGACGTCTTGCAAATTGCCTTAAAACGATTATTAAACAATATTATAGAAGTCATATAATTTTACAGATGATTAATTTCATAAAAATGTCATATATGATACTGCTATGTACACTTTAATACATTTCATGATATATTTTGTATTGTTCAAATATAGTACACTCATTATATATTTTATTTTTTGGAGCAAACAGGGCACAGCAGTTGAGAAAATCATGATTTTTGGCAGTTTATAAATTTAATAAAAGTTTCATAGAAGTTGATAGTTAAAAATGTGATTTCATATTTACACACTATTAGGTAAGAAACGTATTTCCTGTATATTGCAAATACAAAAAAAACCCCAAAACCCCCCAAAAACTATGTGAATAAAAACAGTTTAGTTTCAATTAAAATATATCATCCAAAAAAGTTAAACTCTAGGACCCAGACACGAATAAATATTTTCTCCTTAAGAAGAGGCTCACAATAATTTTATATTGTTTAAAATGATTTTAGAGCATGTTAAATTAATTGAAGAAAATAGCACTGACTGAGAAATTATGTTATGTGAAAGAAACACAATGTTAACAAAGTAGTATTTTAACTCTACTA